GAGCAACGATAAGATTAACGGGAAAGAGAACGGTAAACTAACGGAAATGCTGGAGAGTTTGTTACTGCGAAACGACGCAGTTTCGAAGCCCTTGGTGGAGATCTCGTCGTTTCAGTCTCTATGCGCTTTGCTCTGGCGAGCGATCACTCGAGCGAGGAAGCTCCCGAGCTCCAAAACGACGACGTTCCGCATGGCAGTGAACTGCCGCCACCGTCTGAGTCCGAAGCTGGACGCGGAGTATTTCGGAAACGCGATTCAGAGCGTTCCGACGTTTGCGACGGCGGGGGAGGTTCTATCTCGGGATATCCGGTGGAGCGCCGATCAGCTCAACCAGAGCGTGGCGGCTCACCAGGACGGGAAGATTCGGAGCGTTGTGGCGGATTGGGAGGCGAATCCGAGGTGTTTTCCTTTGGGGAATCCCGACGGAGCGTCGGTGACTATGGGGAGCTCGCCGAGGTTTCCGATGTATGATAATGATTTCGGGTGGGGGAGGCCTGTGGCGGTTAGGAGTGGGCGGGCGAATAAATTTGATGGGAAGATCTCTGCGTTTCCTGGGAGGGATGGGAATGGGAGTGTGGATTTGGAGGTGGTTTTGGCGCCGGAGACGATGGCTGGGATTGAATCTGATGGCGAGTTTATGCGATACGTGTTGAAGAAGTAACGGGATTTTATGTAATAACGTAACGGTTTGGGTTTTTTTTTTTTTTTAAATGTTGTGTCTCGAGAACTTAACAATGTAATATTGTAATGAAATTCTGTAAGTTGACTTCATAAAAATGTTATACATATTACACTTTGGCATTGGGAGTTTTCGCTTTGATTTGTGACATTGTCATTGATGAGCTAAAGACAAATCATTTTCTGTTAGTTTCTGTGTTTGTCAAAGAACGCCTGTTGTTAAGCNTTTTAAATGTTGTGTCTCGAGAACTTAACAATGTAATATTGTAATGAAATTCTGTAAGTTGACTTCATAAAAATGTTATACATATTACACTTTGGCATTGGGAGTTTTCGCTTTGATTTGTGACATTGTCATTGATGAGCTAAAGACAAATCATTTTCTGTTAGTTTCTGTGTTTGTCAAAGAACGCCTGTTGTTAAGCGTTTCCTCTCTCTGTTTGTTTTGGTTCTTAGATCTCAGTGTTTTTCTACTCTCTCTTTGCTGAGGACTCTTTGACTCCTCATGTTGCTACAACGAGTGATAGACAGCAGTATGTGCCGGTAGTAGAGTACATGGATAACGTTAGAAAAATGGTCATGAGTACAATCTCTCTATTGAAAATGAGTGACAAATCTAATGTGCTTTTTGTTTCTGTAGAATACAAAGTACATACCAGAGGCTTGTTGCTGCTCTCGTTCTCCTCTGTTATATTGCCAATTGTTAGGGGAAGGACTTTTGTTGTGGTTTAATCTCTTACAAAACCCTAACCAACTATACAAGAAACACTCTTTTGTTGTCTCTCTCGTTCTTCTTCAACCCCTTTCCAGAAAATCATAATATCTAATCTTAAACCGTACAAACAAACACTGAAAACAGCTCATGTTTGGTCTTTTCGAAAAAAAAAGAAAGAACAGCTCATGTTTGTTTCCTTCCTATGTTTTACACTTTATCCCGAGTTCTCTACTCATTTCACTAGTGTGTTACCAAACACTCTTGGACTGTCTGAAAGCATGGGAAATTGAATAGGATGCAAAATGTATCATCAACATGATGTGAATGACCAAGAAAGAGGATGTTAACACACAATGCTGCAATTTAACAACTGTTTCATCAAAGTTATGACTTGGTTTCCTCAATTGAAATCCAAAAAAAAAAAAAATTACAGAAGCACTTGGTAATAACATGTCAACTCATATAGTAGTCATACGTATATTAGCCAAATGCAAAGGAAGATTTTGAACCGAACACGCAACTCAAGAAAGTGGGGCTTATCCGGTTAACCAAGACAAGAGGCTCCGTAAGTATTAAGGGTACATTAGTCAATTAACATTGATACATACACTCTCCAACGTCAGCTCGCGTGTTTTCTTCGAAATATCTGAAACGAAACAAAAGAGAAGAAGGAAAGAGGAGAAAAAAGTAAACCATTAGGGGATGGAGAAGAAGCTCCGCCTACAGACTCCATCAAACTGACATTCTCATAAGCTCCTTTTAATCCTCCGTCTTCGGAAGTTAATTTCTTTTTTTTTTGTGACGGCTTCAAATTGAATTGGAAGGTAATAATCAGAGGATCAGAAACCATGTCGGACGCATTGATAAATGGATTGGCGGGAGCTGGGGGTGGGATCATTGCTCAACTACTCACTTATCCTCTCCAAACTGTAACGATTCTCTCCCAATTTATCCTCTTCTTCTGGATGTTAATGTTCGTCTTGTGGATTGATAAAGCTTTGTTGTTGGGAATTAGGTAAATACGCGGCAACAGACGGAGAGGGATCTCAAGAGGGAGCAGAAGAAGAAGAAACTTGGAACTTTCCAACTCATGTGCCAGGTAACATTCTCTCCTCTCTCTCAATTCTTTTCCTTATTCCAATTTTATAGCAGCTTCTTGAAATTGCTCTGATTTTCTTTTGTATTTGAAAGGTTGTGAAACAAGAAGGATGGGGACGATTGTATGGTGGATTGGCGCCGTCTGTGGTTGGAACTGCAGCGTCACAGGTTACATTCATTCTCTCTGCGTAATCTGTATTTTGTTAGCCATTTTGTTGTTTGAAGTTTAGAGGAGATGAAAGAAAGTGAAATGTCTTCTCTAAGTTACTCAGCTCACTCTTTTTTTTGTTGTTGATGAGATTAGGGTGTGTACTACTACTTCTACCAAGTGTTTCGGAACCAAGTTGAAGCTGCAGCTCTTCGACAAAAGAAGAAAGGGTTTGGTGATGGATCTGTTGGCATGTTTTCTTCTCTCCTAGTAGCTGCCTTAGCCGGGTAAAAAACATCAATTCAATCCTCTTTATGTGGTTTTCTTATATGCTCAGGTTTTGATTATTAATAGTTAGCAGTGCTATACATTAAATATTTAAATTTTTGAATGGTTACAATTTCCTAAGTAGCACTTTCATCATTCAGTTCTCTCTCACAAATTGCAATGACTGTCTGGAGTATATAGGCTATGATTGAAGGCTCCTATAGTCATAACTGTCTCGTTTTTTAATCGTAAAATTTGGTGGTATGACAGCCATATATGATTAACCATTCCATACTTAACAATAATACTAATCCTTTTCTTCTTCTATTGCCTCTGCTGTCTCGCTCAGATCAGTTAATGTTCTTATGACGAATCCTATTTGGGTGATTGTTACACGCATGCAGGTATATCAATCTTCTCTTTATTTTTATTCCTTCGTGGATTTTCTTGTCCTCACACTCCTATTCTCTGTTAATTTTCTCAACCTTATTCTTATTGTGTTATATATTTATGCAGACCCATAGAAAAATGCCAAAAGGTCTACAGACGGTCCCTGAGCCACCTTCTGCTGATGTAGAAGCTCTGGTTCCTGTTGAGCCTCGTCCCTATGGAACCTTTAATACGGTATGACGCAGTTTCACTTATTTACAAACCACGAAGAAGTAGGTTTCACCTGTTTGCAATATGAAAATGATTTCAGACTCTATAAACCTCTCAAGCAAATCTGTGATGATACATATTTGAACGATGTTTTTAGATTCGAGAGATTTACGATGAAGCTGGAGTGACTGGCTTCTGGAAAGGTGTAATTCCCACACTGATCATGGTATGTTGAACGTAACAGGCCTTAGAATTTTGTTCGTGTAAGTGCATTTTCTGACTGTTTTTTTTTGAAAAAATATACAGGTTTGTAATCCAGCAATGCAATTTATGTTGTACGAGACAATGTTATCAAAACTGAAGAAGAAACGTGCCTTGAAGGGTAGCAACAACGTGACGGCTTTGGAGGTTTGTACTCTAGAATTTGTTTCATTATGATAAAGATTAAGATGTCTCTTGCTCTTTGTTGCCATACTTTCATGTTTTCTTTCCCCCATAGACATTTCTTCTTGGAGCTGTGGCTAAACTCGGAGCTACAGTCACAACTTATCCCCTCTTGGTTGTAAAGTCACGACTTCAAGCCAAACAGGTCACTACAGGAGACAAAAGACAACACTACAAAGGTTTGTGCTTTCCTCTTGTTTTTAAGGCCACAAAACTCATTTCCTAATTGATCGTTGAATGTCAGGAACGTTGGATGCGATACTGAAGATGATACGATATGAAGGGCTGCACGGGTTTTACAAAGGGATGAGCACAAAGATTGTTCAGAGCGTTTTCGCTGCTGCGGTGCTGTTCATGATCAAGGAAGAGCTTGTCAAGGGTGCTAAGCTTTTACTCTCCAACGCCACTTCTAACAGTGTCAAGTCCAAGCCTTCTTCAGGCTCAATCCCAACTAGGATTTGAAGTATTAAGAAAAATGAGTTTAAATAAACTTCAAATGATTTCTTAATTAAGTTATATCACACACTATTGGAATGTCATGTTCCTGATTATCGCAATTAATTACTGTATTTTCTACCAAAATATAGTGTTTGATATCATTTTATTTTTACTTTTGGCCTCTGATTTCTCTACAAAATAATTAGAAGGTAATCCTCAATATATTTGGATCCAATTTAATTGTATATAGAAACAAACCTTCAGCATTTAAGTTACAGAATCCAAAGTAGTCAAAAATCTATGATGAAAATAATGTTTAATTTGTTGACACAATAGGATTAAATGTCGAATTTGACAATGAAAAAGTAACAAATTAAGTAACCTAAGCTACCTAACAATGCAAAACCGGAACCAAAAGGTAATTTAATCATGCAAAATAGAGTAATCCTTTTGAAGCCCATCACAAGCCCAATACAATGTATCAGTGAAACGACATCGTATTATACCAGTTTTGACTACTGAAACGTCTCCAAGCTCTATCCTCCTCTCCAGTCTTTGCTCAAAAATTATCGCAGAAACGCGTAGATCTTGTCTGGATCTAAGCTGTTCACCATGGAAGAGAAGAAGGCAGAATCAACGAACAAAAACGTAAAGAAAGCAAATCTGTTGGATCACAATTCAATCAAGCACATCCTCGACGAGTCCGTCTCTGACGTAAGGCCTTTTGCTTTCCCTCCATATTCTCTGAAACCGTTCGATTACGATCTTCCTCTATGTTGGTGTGTAGATCGTCAAGAGCCGTGGATACAAGGAAGACGTGAGGCTTAGCAACCTGAAACTGATCTTAGGGACGGTTATCATCGTGGTTGCTCTCGTTGCACAGTTCTACAACAAGAAGTTTCCGGAGAACCGAGACTTTTTGATTGGATGCATCGCATCATATCCTTTCTTAGTGTCGATTCACTGCTTAGATAGAGAGAGAACTGTAATGTGGCTTGATTTGATTGTACTTTTAGCAGTAGATTCATTGTGTGTATATGCAAGCTGTTTGATATCTGTGTTGTATTTGGATGATTGTGAATAAGATGTTTGGTTTCTTTGACTATGGCAAGTATGTAGTGTTGAATGGGGTGTTGCAGCTGATTCTGTACACTAAGGAGAAGAATGCCATTTTGTTCACCTATCCTCCTGAGGTTTGTTTATATTGTAAAGCAATCTTTGATTGTTTGTGTTTGCTTGGATTATTTTGTAAGGAACTAGAAATGTGCTTCGTCTAGCCTGACATGTTTAGTAGTGCATGCATATCTTAGGACACCTTGTTTTGAGGCATTTTGAGATTTGGGAAAAGCAACATTTCAATGTTTTTGTTTGATTAGATAAAGTCTTCTGGGAAATATTATTCCCCCAGTTTTTCCTTTCATTCTCACCAGCTTGAACAAAATTCTCTTATATAGTTTGTATCCGAGAGGAGAAGATATTTTTTTTTTCCGAACACTTCATTCTCTACTCACTGATTAGGTCTCGAACATGCAATAGAAAGAGCTAATCCATTTTGTTTTGCTGAAACCATTCTCTCGTTATGCTTTGCTACAGTTTGAGAATGTTTTGTTAAGCTAATCATTTGCTACTACATTCAAAATCGTAATTGGTTGAATACGCAGGGATCATTCACCAGCACTGGCTTGGTTGTATCTTCAAAGCTGCCGAGATTCTCTGATGAGTACACTCTCACCATCGACAGTGCTGATCCAAAATCAATCTCAGCTGGGAAGTCAGTCCAACTCACCAAAAGTGTCACTCAGTGGTCTCTCTCCTCTCGCTCACTCTCTGCATCTCATCTGCGCATCATAAACCTCTCGAGCTAATTTATATGGTGTGTGTGTGTTCTCAGGTTCACGAAAGAGGGAGTTCTTGTTGAGGGTTTATTCTGGAAAGACGTGGAAGCATTAATCAAGGACTATGCAAAAGAAGACGAACCAAAGAAGAAGAAATGATGATATGATATTTTGGAGAACATAATGTTCTTCAAAAATCCAAAATGTTACGTTTTAGACAATTAAAAATCAATGGTGACATTTGTTTTTGAGATGACATTAATATTCCCGATAAGAATATTCCAATGTTTTTTGTTATAACAAAAAAATCGAATTAATCTGAGATTATGGACAAAGATAAAAGTATATCACCAGTGAAGCCAATGGCTCACATCTCAAGTTCATGGCATAAGTTGTTGGCAATGACTACTTTTTTTATATTGCAAAGTTTGTGTTTCGTATTCTACACCAACCATAGATGCCTTTTGTCGTTTAGTGTATTTTTAATATTTTACACACAAAGATCCAAGTCAAATGCCAACAACTCTGAGTGGCTTGGATTACTGTAGGCTTTCTAGGCAGCTCGTATATATGTGCCCTGGGAAAGTTTTGTTTGTGGTTGGAATAACCAAATAAAAAACTATAGAGCTCAATAACATAACATTTGTGATTTGTCCATATCAACAATATTCCTAATCAGATTCTATAATCCATTCATTTGTTATCCACACATTTCTTACAATTTTTAATAATCTGTCCATGGTGGAGAACGGATTGAGAAAAAAACTAGTATTAAGTTTTTTTTTGTTGGTCAAAAACTAGTATTAAAGTTTTTGAAATTAAAAAATGAGTACAAGCCCATCTCTGTCTTTGCTGGGGCCCATTTAACCGAAGCGCATCATACATTACTCAAACTGACGTGGCACTTGGTCGAAGTCGGTTACTGAAGGGACCCACTCCCTAATCTCGTAGGACCCACCAACCCACCCATTGGGCTTTTATGGCTTGAATTTGTGTGCGTGTGCTCAATCAAACGAACCCGGATCTCAAATGCAATCAACTTAACTTCATTTAATAAAAATCGTTTCGCATCCGCCAAAGCGTTCTTATTATAAACACAAAACGCTGTTATAGTTTCTTATCTTTTTCTCCATCTTTCAGCTAACGCGAAGGGGAATCCACAATCCCTCCCTCCTCTCTCTCTCTAGAACGTCATCTTCAACAAAACTCATCGTCTCTCTCTCTTGAACAAACAAAATCAATAACAAACCCCTTTGCATTCGAAATCTGTGGATTAATTATTTGAACCATTAGAGTTTCTGGATTCTCTGTATAACGAACTAGATAACGTTTTACCGATCCGAATACGATTTGAACATGGCCGATTCTTGGAAGCGAGACGCCGGAGACGATCATCCAAACGACGATGCGTCGGATTCGTCGTCGTCCACCGTCGATTCTGGATCCGAGCGCGAGACTGGAGTTTCTCCAGATCCGTTGACTGAGCGAGGCGGAAGAGACTTTCTGGTAGGGGAGGATAGGGTTTTGAGGTGGTTACAGGCGTTGGATATGCAAGTTCTTGGAGCTTGTCGAGGTGACGAGAGGTTGAAGCCGTTGTTGAAGCTTGATGTATCTAACGGAGTGGCGGAAGATCGATTGCTCGCTCATCTTAGCCAGGTTAATCTCGTGAATTTGATGATTCTATAGCTTCTCTATTTGGCTTGACGTGAATCTGATTTGTTGTACAGCACTTTGAGCCTGCGGAGATTGGTATGCTGGCGAGGTGTTTTTGTATTCCGTTGGTTTCGGTTCGCGTTGGGAAGATTAATAAGGAAGGGGCCTTAATGCGTCCTACTCCCATTAGGTATAACAACCATGTTTTTCATGAGTCCTGTGAAATGTTAATTGTTATATTCATAGGCTCTCTAGATTTTCTTGTTGAGCGTTTAGCTTTGAATACGGGTCTTATGTTAGAGCTTTAGGATGATTTAAAAAAAAGAAAGAGAATGTTAGTCAATGGTTTCTGTGCAATCCTGTCATTGATGTTCACTTACGCTAAAACCAATTGTGATTTGGGAATCATTCTAATGATTGATATTTTGTGTGTACACACACAATGCATGCGTTAGTATTATGTTCTTCTTCTTAGAGCGTCCTTCTGAAGATTTGTTTGACATTACTCTCTCCCTGAATCACTCCATGTCTGGTCTCATGGTTTTAAACATGTTTTTTCATGTACAGTGCCTGTTTTCCATATTAAATGTTGCAGACTTACCTTTTTGCAGTTTTAACATGTGCTAACACTTTGGAGGAAGTGGAAAAATATCTATTTGGTCAGTTCTGTTTGTATCAATGTAGTTTCTAACTTCTAGTTTTAAAGTCTATTCATGACTGACTTGCTTTGCTTTAATTAATGGCGGTAAGAAATCATAGGAGCTCAATCAGTCGTACTCTTGATGCTTCCAAAATAAAATGTATCTTTTATTGTAGGTATGTGGGCGTTATCTGTTATGATCTCTGGTAGATGATGAAGTAAAGGTAGTTTCACCTCCAGTGTTGTATAGTCTGCTCTTTTGTTGTTACTCATATAGGGATTATCTGTTTGTCATAACACCACTGACTATATATCCTTCTTAACAACGCATATTATCAGGCTCCGGCATTTTTTTAATCGATTTGTTTTTTAATTTAAGCTTTTTGTTTATTTTAGATTCTCTGTAGTTTCTACTTGTTACTAATCTATTGAAATGGCCTTTTGTGTGTGTTGGTGGAACTGTTTGTTGAATAAGATGATAATGGATTTGTCTAAAGTTTGTTTCAGGAAGCTCTAGATAATCATTTTCTTGACCTCATTTGATTCATTTAAGCTACAGTCTTAATAAATGCCGAGTACCAAATTGCATACATATCTGATCATAAAAGCTCGGATAGTGTTCTCTATGTTTTGTGAAAGATTAGTAATAGCACAGTTGTTATGAAAACAGTAGACTTTTGGTTTCTTCTAATTTGAATAAGTGTTACTTACTAATGTTTGTCAGCAGTTAAAAAGCTCGTGGACTTGATCTTTTTTTTTGTGCCTGGTTTTCAGCATCTTGTATTTATTACTTAGGGGGTTTGCTTTTGATATTAGAGACTTACCGACTAATTACTTGTTACTTTTAAATTGGTCAGGGGTAACTTGAGCCTTATGATCCTGCCAACATCAGACTTGCGACTCTCATTTATCGGAGACAATGGCCACTCAGAGCAACTCTTCACTTATGCCAACAAATCTCAGTGCTCTGCGGTGTCAATTGAGGAGATCACTGCAGACAGCTCTGGTAGATCATTTGTTATAAGGATCGCAGATGGCAACACTTTTTACTATTGGTGCTCAGAGAAGTCAAAACTTCTAGGAATTGAACTGCGTAGGAAGGTTTGTTAGACAAAGATGATCTTTATTTTTCGAATACTGAGTCTTTACATCTAAATTTCCTCACTCTGTTTTTTATTTTCTTTCTGATTCTTCTCTGCAGATGGATGAGTTGATCAAGAAGAAACCATCAGTCTCAGAACTAACTGGAATTGAAGAATCACGTCTTGGCTCTGTTGCTTCTCATCTCCGTTTGTATCTCATGGGTTCGGTCGTGCCTAACATCAAAGGTTGCCCAGTCCCAACTCCTGATTCGTCTTCTGGTTCTTCTGAAACAACTGCTTCCTCCTCTTCTGCATCATCAATATCTCTTCGGGCACGCCACTCTGGGACGCACCTGGCTAAGTCTCAAGGAAACATCAGCTGTAGCTCAGGTTCCTTCGAAGAAAACACACTGAGAAACTCTTCTCTACGTATCTCCTCCAGAGATGAATCAAAGCAAAGCAGTGAAGACCATTTCTCGATCTTTGAAGTCACCACCAGTGCAGAAGGTTTCATCCAGTCAGAAGAAGAAGGTGAAGAAGCAGCAGATGACAGTAATGGAATCCGTCAAATACTCTTTTCTGAAGCAGCGGACTTGGGACTAACTTCACTGACCTTACCGCCACAGTTTCCTATGAAGATGGGTCCACAAGTGTTTTCTCCATATTACTGCTGGTGCCCTCCAAGCACCTCATCGATTCACGCACCATCTGCTTCTTATCAGTTCCCTCCACTATCCATCGAGCTACCTTTGCTTCCACCTCTTTCTTCCTTACTACCATCATCAGGGTCAGATGGGTTCTTGATTCCATCATCACCACTCGATCTCTCCGACATCCCTCCATTGCCTTTGGTCCACCACATACCCATACCTGGCGCATCATCATCATCATCATCTTCCCAGCAGCAGATGATGATTCCTATAATGTGCGACCCTATCGTTCATATTCCAGTAATGGATATATGCTCGTCAGGTCAAGCCTATCTGGTAAGCGCTGGACCTACCGGGATGATACCCACTGGAATCCCACCCCTCTCGGTGGAGAATGAGTCGCTGGTGGAGAAAGGAGCAAGAGAGACACTGAGATTGCTCATAAGCGGAGCCAATGCAACAACCTCTGCTCCTTTGAACCACCACCACCACGGAAGCAGAGGTCTGTACAGTGGGACAAGGGACGTGAGTGGAGTGAGCTTGTTTGCACCCATTGGGCTGAAACAACCGAGTGCAGGTGACGAGGGAGATGGTTCTGGGGACAGTGGGAGCTCAGGCGAAGCAGTGCCTCCCAAAGAGACTTCTTCTGGTTAGTGTTTTTTTTGAGGTTCTTTGTAAGTGTTTTTTTTTGTTTCCAAAATGGAAGTCGAAAAAGTGTATAGAAAGGGGAGAGGCTTGTGAAGCTCGTCTCTCGCTTAGTTCTTTTGGTTTATGTTCAGCCAAACTCTTTTGTTATAAGGTGTAATTAGTCTGTTTTTTCTCTGTGTAGCTTGGTTATCATCTTCCTTATGTTTTGAAACTTAAAGGAGGCTAAGACCTTCGGGTAATAATTGAAAGTTGTTTTGACATATGAACACACTTACTGTCAACTTACAAAGTGCAATATTACTACTGGTTAAATTTTGTTGAGGTACATGGATACAGATGAGTATCATTGAAAAAAGTATACGGTTTTATGACAAAGTATAAGAATGGCACATGTGTACGTCTACCGATGATGAAGACAAAACAGTCGTATACAATTAATAGATGATAGCGTCATAGTACTTATTTTCTCATATTAAATTCTTAAAAAATGCTACTGTTTTCTCTAAGAAAAATTGTAAACAGTAATTGACGTTGGAAAGATCTAATCCAGATTCGTGGATAACATCTGATAGCAAAGTCTCTTCAAAACTATTACTAAAGAAAAATGCTCTAATTAAGAAAAAAGAGAGAGAGAAAAGGGTGTGTCTCTTTTGATTAAGCGCCGAGAATAATACAGCTAATTGATACTACTAAACTAATCGTCCATTGGATAAATCATACAGCAAGACCTGGTTAATATATTCTCGCATTATATATTGTCGTTTAGCAGATCTCATCTGGAACATTAATAAAAAAAAACATTTGACAGAAGACGAGATCGCATCTCCACCGTCTAAATAACTTAACTTGAGATAGAAGATCCTATCTACACCGTCTAAAATAACTTAACACTCGAACACAAGAAAGTGTGTTGTTGTAATAAAAAAAAAAGAGAGAAAGGAAACAATAAATATTCTGTCGCCCACTTGATCGCATCTCCCATCAAACTTTCTTTCTCCTCCTTCTTCCTCGTCTACTCTCCTCTCGACGCGTGTCCTCCTCTCCTCACTCTCCTCCTTCTATCTTCCTCCTTCACCTCCTACTCTTCCTCCAATCTCTTCTTCTGTGAGAGCTTCTCTTTCGAGTTTTGAAGATACTAATCGAATCTATGGAGGATCCCGACATCAAGAAGAAGTGCAGATTAACTCCATGTCTAATCCCCGTAACCGTAGATGACGTCATCGAGCAAGTCATGCCATACATAACAGACTCCAAAGACCGAGACTCAGCCTCCTTAGTCTGCCGCAGATGGTTCAAAATCGACTCCGAGACCAGAGAACACGTCACCATGGCCTTATGCTACACCTCAACTCCAGATCGTCTCAGCCGCCGTTTCCCGAATCTGAGGTCTCTCAAGCTCAAAGGGAAGCCACGTGCCGCTATGTTTAATCTCATCCCTGAGAACTGGGGTGGGTTTGTGACTCCTTGGGTCAACGAGATCGCTGCGTCGCTACGGAGGCTTAAGTCGGTTCACTTTAGGAGGATGATTGTTAGTGATTTGGATCTGGATGTTTTGGCTAAGGCCAGGTTAGATGAGCTTGAGGCTTTGAAGTTGGATAAGTGTTCTGGGTTCTCTACTGATGGGCTTTTGAGCATCGTTAAACACTGCAGGTACGTCTCTTATTACATATACCCTTGTCCGAAGAAGAACCGTGTGTTAATAAAGTTTGTGTCTTTAGCTCAGTTATTACATATCCTTGTCCGAAGAAGAACTGTATGTTTATAAAGTTTGTGTCTTTTTAGCTCAATTAGGTAAGTAGAAAACTCTTTGGTGCGTACTTTTGCAACTCTGTTTTGTCTACTGTTATTACATATATACTTGTCCGAAGAAGAACCGTATGTTTATAAAGTTTGTGTCTTTAGCTCAGTTGAGTAAGTAGAAAACTCTTTATTACTTACTTTTTGCTTGTAAATCTGTTTTGTCTACTGTTGTTGTATATCCTTGTCTGAAGAATTGTATCTTAAGAAAAAGTTTGTGTCTTTGAAAGTCTGAGATGTGTCTTTAGGCTTAATTGGGTAAGTGGAAAACTCTTTGGTGCCTACTTTTTTTTACTCTCTTTGGTGATATGTTGTTGGACCTTTACTTCATGTTTCGTTTTGCTTACTAACACTTTATACATTTGTGACTATGCATAAATTAGCAGAACTATTTCATTTCATCTGCTACTTTTTTTTTTTGTCTCTTTATGTTTGGTTTCATGTTTTATTTAGGTTGCTATTCTCTTTATGGATAAAATATTTGTCTTTGGGAGTTCATGTTTTATGATTTGGTTGTTGTTGTTATGCATTTTGCAATTTTTAAGCTGAAAATTCAATTAATATTGTGTTTGCTTCTGTGACAGGAAAATAAAAACATTGTTAATGGAAGAGAGTTCTTTTGTTGAAAAAGATGGTCAATGGCTACATGAGCTTGCTCTCCACAACACATCACTAGAGGTTCTAAACTTCTACATGACTGAGTTCATCAAAATCAGCGCCAAAGACTTGGAAACCATAGCTAGAAACTGCCGCAGCTCACTGGTCTCTGTCAAGATGGGCGACTTTGAGATTTTGGAACTTGTTGGCTTCTTTAAAGCTGCAACTAACCTTGAAGAGTTCTGTGGTGGCTCCTTGAATGAGGATATTGGAAGACCTGAGAAATACATGAACCTGACTTTCCCACCAAAGCTATGCCGTTTGGGTCTCTCTTACATGGGACCTAATGAAATGCCTATACTGTTTCCGTTCGCTGCTCAAATCCGGAAGCTGGATCTGCTTTATGCGTTGCTGGAGACTGATGATCATTGTACACTCATTCAAAAGTGTCCTAATTTGGAAGTTCTTGAGGTAAACTTGAATGCAATATCTATTCTATTTACCAATGTTCTAAAAATCGGTCTAAGCCGCATCTGATTGGTTCTACTCAAACTGGTTTAAACTGTCTAAATCGGTTTTAATCAATCTTAATCAGTAAATCTCTTAAAATCAAGCAATACTATTAGTTCAAATCCACAAAATTTTCCATTCTTTTTTTGGTATTTCTAACTGTTATAATTAAACATAAAACTAAAATATCTAATATAAATGTAAAATATATATAAATAAATAAAAAATTAGTTAACAGTATGCCTCGAATAATCCACATTAGTTAGTATCCTACTAAACGCCTAGTTACCGGCTAACGATTTTTTGAACATTGTTATTTACATATGTACTCACACTAATCAGCTATCATGAATCATTGGTTTTATAAGTGTATATAATGTGGTGGTAAAGGGATATGAGTGCAGTCTCTGACAAATAATTGTTGTGTTTCAGACAAGGAATGTAATAGGAGACAGGGGACTAGAGGTTCTTGCACAGCACTGTAAAAAGTTGAAGCGGCTGAGGATTGAACGAGGAGCAGATGAACAAGGAATGGAGGACGAAGAAGGCTTAGTCTCACAAAGAGGACTAATAGCTTTAGCTCAGGGCTGCCAGGAGCTAGAATACATGGCTGTATACGTCTCAGACATAACCAACGAGTCACTCGAAAGCATAGGAACACATCTGAAAAACCTCTGTGACTTCCGCCTTGTCTTACTCGACCGAGAAGAGAGAATCACAGACCTGCCACTTGACAACGGAGTACGTTCCCTCTTGATAGGATGCAAGAAGCTAAGACGCTTTGCGTTCTATCTCAGACAAGGCGGGTTAACAGACGTGGGGTTAAGCTATATAGGACAGTACAGTCCAAACGTGAGGTGGATGCTTCTTGGTTACGTTGGTGAAACAGACGAAGGGCTAATGGAGTTCTCAAGAGGTTGTCCGAGTCTACAGAAGCTAGAGATGAGAGGGTGTTGTTTCAGTGAAAGAGCAATAGCTGCAGCGGTTATGAGGTTGCCTTCTCTGAGATACTTGTGGGTACAAGGGTATAGAGCATCGATGAGGGGACAAGATTTGAGGTTAATGTCTAGACCGTACTGGAACATAGAGCTGATACCTTCTAGAAGAGTACCGGAAGTGAATCAGCTTGGAGAAGTAAGAGAGATGGAGCATCCGGCTCATATATTGGCTTACTACTCTCTAGCTGGTCAGAGAACAGATTGTCCACCAACTGTTATAGTCCTAAAGGAGACATGATGATGATGATGATGATGATGATCCAAGGCAGGTTTGTATATAAAAATTTGGTTATTATGTCATTTTCAGTCTCTGAGTTTTGGGGTTTACATGAACTGTGTGATGTGATGATGGCTTCTTTTTTTTTTATTCTCTTTCTGTTGTATGGGTCTAGTGGTTTTGGGAGATTTTATGTTTAGTATCTTTGTTTGTAAGAGAGCATATTGCTTTGTTTTTCTTTATTCCACATTTTATTGTTTTCTTTTTCTGAATAAAAATCCTCGAAAGATTTTGAGAGATTTGTTATCTATATTTGGTTTAATTGACGTATAATTTGACCCTAATAATAACTTTATAGCATAGTGTGGAATTTTTAGGAACACAAAAGTGATGAATTATTAAAGGGGAAGGAGACTTCACAAGTACTCCAATGCAATTATAATGGACCCTAACATTCATAAACAAGCTTTTAACTATTCAACCAACCAATAATAAATGGAATCTATAACTATCATTGCCGACGAAAAAGAGAAAAAATTGGAATCTCTAATCAATGAGTGTGCCAGAACAAGGCTGGTGACTGAAAAGCCACTTTCAGATTCTTCTAACCACAAGATGCGACCTTTTTAACAACAATAATACAATCTTTTGTCGTATGTGCAATCTCCTTTTAGATAGTTACATTTGTAATTTATGAGAAAAGGAAAAACTCATTTGTATCTAATTCTTCTAACCAGAAACTGGACTTTATAACAATAATAACAATACAACTATTTATAGATAATTGGGGTATGTGCAGATGCAAGTGTCATCTCGTTTTACATAGTTACATTTGTAATTTATAACAAGCGAGACACTAGCCTGTTCAGAAGATTCACTTTTAAGTTTTGTGATCATCTCTCTAATATACAGAAAAAGAGTACTATACTTTCTTACGATCACGTAAACTCAGCTGTCGTCGATTGGTGAAAGGAGGAGGATGATGGAAGAGTAGCTGAGCATTGGGTACATATTTGCATCTAAGAAGTGTCTGTACTGTTTCATCGCCGTTTCTCTCCCTGGGAGATCATGTGTTATGCAGTCGAAAGGGCTTGGTTTGCTCGTGTCTACAAATGGCTCCCATCGATAACCAGGCCGCTCAGGGAGTGTAACAAGTGTGGCTAAATGACTCGTGTTGAAGGCCACGTATATTTCTCTCTTCACTGAATCCACCTACAGAAATTTAAGAAATAAAGAGGTTTGAATCACCTATGTAAGCACATCAAACAAGAGGCGACGACCTTAGCAATAGGGTTTTAAGAAAATTGGTACCAGTGAAAATGCAACGAATCGACTTGTTTCAGACCAATCTGGCGTCTCAGGAGCAATACCATGCCACTGCAGACGCTTTGCTGTTGGAAAGTCGTCAAGGCCAAGTGATTCACATTCACTACAAGTTAAAATCATTTAGTAAAAGGAAAAGGAGAAACAGAGGATTGTAAAATTATAAAACTATGTGAAGCGGGTAAAAAGAAGATTACATACTCACGAAACTTGATCAGAAGACGGCAGAATCTGAAGTAGTCATCATGTGCTTCTTCCTTTTTATCCCACCTAAAATAGTTCAACTGCATCCCAATTGTGTTTTAACATTATTGGAAAGTTAGTTTGGATTGAAAACATAAAGAAGCAGCTTAAAAATCACTCTAGAGACAAAGTATTAAGAGGTTTACATAGTTGTCATGGCAATAGGTGTTGTTGTTCCCTCCTTTCGTATGACCATATTCATCTCCCATGTAGATCATAGGGACACCCTGGTGACATTTGGTAATGGAGTTAGATTACATTGTGGTTTTATAGTTTTTGATGTGCATAGCATCAGTTAAAAAAGCTAAAGCAGAAAGTAAAATAAAGGTAATATTAACAATTGGTTAGCTTTACCTGAGCAACCATGAGGGAAACAAAGAAATTTCGCATTTGTCGTTTCCTTAATCTCTTCACCGAGATACTCACAAAGTCTCCCTCCTGCCGCCCAATACCAATTAGATGAAACCTTTCTTAGTTTAGGTAAAAGTGAATAGGCTAAAAGTATTTCATCTCAGCTTTTAAAAGATCCACACATTTGGCACAAGATTAAATATATCTTACCTCTCCGCAGTTCCAGCTGCAATTGTGATTCTCTCCATCATTATTCTCTTCTCCATTTGCCAAGTTATTCTTATTGTTGTAAGTTACTAAATCTGCCAACGTAAAACCATCATGCGCACATACAAAATTGATGCTATTCCAAGGTTTCCTGCCTCCCTGATGCATAGACAAAATTAGATATATGATAAGATATACAGCAAAAATCTGAAGCCTCACAGACTAAACAACCAAGAGAACCCATTGGTAAAGCCTGCCCTATTAGATACTAAATAGTATGCAGATACCTCAGTGTAGCATAAGTTAACTTTACCTGGTACAAGTTTGGGCTTCCACATAGACATTCAGCAAAAGCACCGGAAAAGCCATCGGTGCCTTTTATGAAGTTTCTAACAACATCCCGGAACTGAAATGGAAAAGATCACTGTTCCATATTAAATTCACAGCAACGATAGATATCATGCACACACAAAATGAAAACTTCCATAAGAATGATTAAGAGTTCCATGTTCATAGCTAATACAGGCTGATATACCTCTGTTCACTCAGCAGAAAGATGATTAAACATTAATAATTACATCATATTTTGCTTGAAGCCCTTGTACACTGTGACACTTAATTTTCCATAGGCATAGGTTTCATGTAATAAATAGCTCAAACGGTCAAACTTTAAAACGAAAATCGTTTATCCTGGTAATATATTACTGACCTTTCCATTCCACTCAGACCAAACACCCCAGTGTGGAAACATGCCAACTTGGTAAAGGCCACCCGCATCCCATGCTTCAGCTATTAGCTGTTTGCAAAGCAGAACCATAAATGAGTAAGAAAGCAAAATTGGCCCCAAAAAGACACCCACCGAGGAAATAGCCTTTTAAATAGTATCTTTTGTCAATTGTAAGAGACTGTGACGCTGTTCTTTATTTGCAATCATCTACGACTTCGATTGGAATGAATTAAGCCCTCTTGTAGTGTTACTTCTAGCATACGTACTGACATGCACTGAAGACTCTAATAATGATATTATATTTATACTCCCGAACCTAAATCATCCGCATATGTAAAGAAGTGGAAATTCAAATAGATGCATAATTTGGTAACCATTATCTGAAACATATGCCTATCACGTTCTAGGTAAAACATGCCAAACAGGTAATAAATGTTTCTTAAGAAGTTGCACGCAAACAAAGCAGAAGTAAATGCGATATAGCTCTGAACAATGAAAATCAGAGTTATATAATGGGAAACTATCAACGAAACTAATTGATCACCTTAACACCACGAAGTACTGGATCATTACTTATCATGTCAAGTACAGGAGGGCAGCTAACAGGGGTACCCGTGGTCAGCAAGTCACCTTCTACATCAGCCCCATAAACATTGGCTGCATCCCAAAGGCTAACAAACATAGAACAGTAAGAATTCCAGAAACGCATAGACCAGACAAACATTCATTTGACGTACTTTAGAACATTTTCACCTGCTGCTCCTTGACATGATTGAACCAAGATCAAAGCGGAAGCCGTCAACGTGCATTTCTGTTACCCAATATCTGTTTAAAGAGAGGTATACATACAGGATTAGGAAGAATTAACTGAAGAGAAAAGCATGAAATAAATTAACTTTATGTCGCAAAAAGGCGTAAGCATCACACTTAAGACCATGAGAGTATAAAAGTACAGCCATCAAATATAAAAGACTTAATTGAAAAACAGCCAAGCATACGTCTACTCTATCTTCGGAAATACCTCAGGCAATCCACTATGAATTGACGAACTACAGGATGATTGCAGTTAAATGTATTACCACAGCCTGAATAGTTATAGAACTCGCCCTGTTAAATCACATCATATGCATAAACTTTAGCTTCAATAATAAAAGAATCAAAACATTATCAGCAGTCAGAGACTATAAACTAGAAAACCCAAAGCATTATGGGTGTTGATTCATAAATTAAAAAGCCAAACTCTCAAAAAAGAAACACACGACCACTTGATGAGCATTACCTTTGGAGCAAGCATGTAATAGACACTGTTATCAACTCCTCTAAATGAGAAAATAGGTCCTTTTTCATTGCCTTCGGCAGTATGGTTCAAAACGACATCCATGATAACCTGCTTAGATAGAACGTATCAAAGAACGACCTAACAAAAAACATTTAGCTACTTAGAAATTGGTTGAAAACATTTAGCTACTTAGAAATTGGTTGTCACCTCAATTCCTCGTTTATGTGCTTCTTTAACAAGAGTTTTGAACTCATTAATTGCTCTTCCAGCAATGTTGCGAGAGCTTGCCGATGAGTATCTGACCATGGGCGAGAAAAACCCAATGGTGGAATAACCCCAAAAATTTACCCTGAACAAGCAAGACAATCTGATCAGACATACTATATGCAATATTAAACTGAGTTACATGTAAGAGAGCTTGCTCAGTCGAATTATTCCAGATATGCGATATGTGGTAGTTTTTTAAGACAACAGCAATCTTAGTTGAGGATTTTTTTTTATAAGATCAATTGATACGTGCTAGCACTCAAAGAGTTTAATTACAAGTGATCCTACTTGTAGTTGTAGTTTGCTCATTCCAGAAGTGACTCAATGAAAAAAAACTGAGAAAGCAAAGTATCTATCAGCCCAAAGTATTGTCATTAAACAAAGGATCTGCTCAAATGGCATACCTGTGGTCTCCCAATATCGGATTGTAGCTGTAATACTCCAGCTCATTAAACTCGTGACATGGCATCAACTCAATGCAATTTATCCCAAGCTCCTGTCAATATCCAAACCACGTAAAGTTGACAGATTATAAAATTTCCACATAAAAACTAATTAAAGTACCTGCAAATGGTCAAGCTTCTCTGCAACACCCTGGTACGTCCCAGGGAACTCAACGTTGCTAGATTCATGCCTTGTGAAACCTCGCACATGCATTTCATATATAACAAGGTCCTTCTGTGAAAGCTTCAAAGGCATATCCCCCTCCCAATCAAACTAAATAACAAAAAAAAAAGAACATTAACACCACAAGTAACTGACCTCACACACTAAATAATAATCTTTACATCAATTCAAAAGCACCTCTTCATCAAGAGTAGGCACCATACACGCCATCTGAGGCCAACAATTCTCATCATCACCTCCCAAAACTCCAAACTCATCCCTACTAACAATTGCCTTTACCAAAACCACAAAAATTAGAGCCAATTCAATCTAACAACACTTTCAATTTCTCCAGTTACCTTCGCGTAAGGATCCAATAAGATATTAGATGAGTCATAGTAATGACCTTCCTCAGGAGAAAACTTCCCATCGAACCTGTAACCGTACAAAATATCTTTAAAATCTCCTTTCAAGAACACGTGCCACACGTGCCCCGTTCTATTCCTCGATGGATCGAGCTGAATCTCCTCCGTCACTTTATTCTACAAACGTGGAAAAAAAACAAAAAAATTAAATGTCGATTATTATAAATCGAAATTTGAAATTATAGACTAAACCTGACGGAGATCGGAGAGGGAGATCAAGCAGATGGTGGCGGAGACGGAGTTTGAGGAGTAGACGGAGAAATTAACGCCGTTATCTCTAACGGTGGCGCCGAAAGGGGAAGGAAGTCCGTTGGAGACGAGGAATCGATGAGATGTAGGAGGAGGTTTTTCCACTACGGCGACGTTTTCGGGTTCGGTGTTGATGATTCTTTTGTCCTTGGCGGAGAGGGAGAGTGGCTGAGGAGATCGGCGGTTGAAATTGGGGGTGGGGAATGTGTAGTTAGAGAAGAGAGTGTTGAGGTGCTTGGTGTGGTGGAGGAAAGTGGAGCTGCATTTGAGTGCATCCATGGATGATGATGGATGCTCTTCTTCTTCTTCTTCTTCGAGCTTTGTGTGTGAAAGAGAGAGGAGGAAGTGTTGATCACACTCAAAGAGTGATCATCATTTGAGATATTTTCGATAGAAAACAAATAAATGAAAATGGGAATTTAAAAAAAAAGGTAAATGGGCTTACGTAATGGGCTTAGAGACGGGCCTGTGTGCATTTATCAAATGATCATCAGTCTTCTTAAAAAAGATAAATGGGCTTATGAAAAGCATCAGTTTCTTCCAAGGGAAAATATTCTAATATACCCCAGTTGGAAAATAACTATTCTAACTACCCCACCATTTTTCTCACTGTCCCACTTTTTTTTTTTGTTCGTAGTAGTTTCTAGTAATTCAAGGTAGTTTGTTTTTTGTTCATAGTAGTTTTCTAGTAATTTAAAGTAGTTTATACTAATTCATAGTAATTCAAAGTAGTTTCTAGTAATTCATATTACACATAATACTGATTCATTAAGGGTTGTTGATTTTATAACCATACTTAGACTTTGAGAAAAAAAAAAAATCAAATTTAAGATGAGTTAAAATAGAATGAAGATAGTAGTGAATGGGGCAATGTAGAATTTAGTCCTCTTCCAAGTTGTGATGTTGTTGTCACTCAAAGAAGGATAAATCATTTGATCTTATTTGGACAAAACAACAAGTAAATGAAAATGTGAATATGAAAATGTTAAGGCTTACAAAATGGGATCCAAAAAATATATATATATATATATATTTTTTTTTTTTGGGGATCCAAAAATATATAAACGCATGAAAAAGTTATAATCTAGGAGGGGGTCATACATGCATAATTGTGAGGAATGGACCCACCCTATTTCTGATTATTCTAAGAATCAATAATTAAAGTTCTTTGAATAATTGAAGTCGTAGATTTCAATTGTTTGCATATTTGCATACGTCACAGATACATACATATACTCTGATATATATGATTGATATGCATATCTTAAACAATAATAACAAAGACAAAACTCATTATATTACCCCCAAAACTCTAAAGCCATTGGTTTGTATGGAATAAGGTTTTTTTATCAAGTTTTAAATCACTCTTTCTAATTATCTTGTTTGGTTAACTTGAAAATAAGTTTCTTGTATATTGTTTGATTGGCTGTTAATCATAAATATTATTTTTTGTTAATCTATCTTTTCTATTAAAAGAGAAGTACCAAATTTATCTACTATTTAAAAGTCATGTTGGACTATGTCATTAGTTATTTAATATGACATATTTGATTGTTACTTAACCAATTAAATATATATTATTTTCAAAATATCTTAATAATTAATAAGGATATTAATAATAAAGCTATTTAAATAAAACAAAATCTGTTGAAAGAATATAAAAGTATCTTACCAAAAATTTTAAATATTTTTTATATAAGATAAGTATTTCTTTATTTTATTATTAAATATAATTGTAAATTAACTTTAATTGAAAATAAAATATAAATCATATATTTAAAAATTTTAGCTATATATTTATAAAATAATTATACCCGTACGGATGTGCGGGTCAAAATCTAGTTACCTTTAACAGAAATACATCGGATTAGTTCAGATAATATCCCCTTATTGGATAGGAGTTAGGACAGAACTATTTAAAGCTCACAAAACATTTCTCGTACGTTAAGACATTGGCCATACAATACTGATGACGGCGGGACCCGTTTCCAAATTCTCCAAAAAAAACAAAATTCTGAGGATAACTAATCTTTATCATACGATTGTAAATTGGTGTCGTATATGCATGAGAAATCAAATGCATACGTATATATATCGACATCGTATGGTCCCAAAGATCGAGATGCTTCGATATATACAAAAGTATTAAAGTGCAAAATCTGATAAAACTAGAAGAACTCAATGTTACCAGTTAGCAGTATAGATATTGGTTAAGACTACGAAACAAATGATATATGTATGAGACATATTTTCACATACGACTAGTAGACTTCAACAGTGTTTTCTACATTAGTAATCTTTTGATAAACATATATCCATTTTCTCAACATTACAATAATTAAAGTTTATCATGACTAATATGATGTAGTTACTGTAGGATTACACGCCACTACAACTATTAAAGTTCAAAATATATGAATGACAATTGACATACATGATTTCTTCACGAGTCTTTTAGCGTCTATATATGTTTATCTCTTATTGGAAAAGACCTTAAAGCACATGAAAACTATATAATATATAACTCAAGAACAGGATTGTCTGCAGTCACATATTTGATTATACTGTATATTCTTTTTCTTTTGCATGTCTCCACAAAATTTGGGAAAGAAAACAAAAACTAACCGCCTCAAATTATATTTTACAAAAAGAGTAATAAGACGATGTTATTTGATATAGTAAAGAATATATAACTTGAGCTGATGACACAAGAGTCACATGTCTGTGTCTCTGTTTTCTTGTGACCATTGTGTTCAGATCTTGGTCCAATAAAGATTCTCATTATCGCCCTGAAGCTACTACAAGGTAATGAAACTATCAGAAACAGATCCAATATTTTACAAAACATTTTTTCAAATATTCTCTTCTAAGACTATGGATGATGTTTGTTTATGATCATCAGTAGGTAAAGATGTCAGCTTATGCGCATCAGATGGAGAGGGAACTCTCAGGTCTCACCAGCCGAGGAAACTCAGGTATATACATAACATTCATAATCTTTCTAAACAAACATCTGAGAGCTAAACCAGTTCTTGAAATGATTCTTGGACTTAACAGTCTTCTTGTTACAGAGATGGGAAGTAGGTTTTCGCTAGATTCTGGATGTTACATGACATCTCTAGCAGCTACCATCTTCATTGCTTCTCTTGTGACATTCGGTGTCTTGATGCTTACACTTCTTATAGCTATATCAACCATGTTACAAAGCTGCGAAAACAAAAGTTCTGGAATCATTCAGGTTCAAAGACTTGTTGATGATGAGAGTTTGAGTTACTGCAGAATCTTGTCTCTACATTCTAAGCTCAATAGCTTGGATGATGATGAAGAGAATAGAATTGAGTTACCGTTGTTATGCAGAGACGTTGCTTTACAAAGAATCAAAGAAGGAGTATATTTGAGAGAGTTGAACTTCACTATCCAAATGATTCTCACTTACTTCAAGACCATCAAACCGAGGAATGATCACATGGATGTTGTTGTGGTCGATGTTGATGGCATCAATCTGTAAGTTTACCTTTTGGAAGTGTTTGATTCTCAGAAAGTTGCTTAATGTTTCTTCTTTTTTTCTATGTGTAGGATAGAACAAGAGAGTTACATTGAAGAAGCAAAGCATCAGAGAAACAAACTAACACTTGAACTATACTCTAAGCTAAGATCACAAGGCTATTCAATGGTTCTCTTATCAAGAAGACCCGATACAGAGAGAAACTCCACCGCCAATGAGTTAAAGTCTATAGGATATAGCGACTGGTCCGGTTTGATCATGAGGTTTGCAGTTGAAGTTCATTCACATTGATCAAATTATAAAGAACTCAACATACTCTCTTGTTTGCAGGGAAGATACAAGACAGAAGGAAGAGTTACAAAGAGACTACCGCATAGTTGGAATCATTGGTAATCATATGGATGTGTTAACAGGCCAGTGGAACTGGCAAAGCAAGCGTCTATTCAAGCTTCCAAGTCTTACCTATAATGATATCTTTGGATTACAGTGAAAGATGTTGAGGTCATGGACTCTACTTTTCAAACTTTAAATGTGCATAGGTTTACAAGAGTTTTTGTGATATAGTTACATATACCATTCAAAGATAAGGTACATAATGTAAGATTGATCACATGCATGGTACCATTTGTGATATATAGTCTGGGTACCATTCAAAGATAAGGTACAATAGTGTTGTTTTTAAAGCTGCATAGTTGTTAGAATCACAACAAGAACAAACTCAGGAGAGACAAGAACATGAACAAGTTCATGTAAAAGTAACACAATCACAGACACAAAGAAAAAACACTCTGAAACCAGTTTTGGTAGAAACAACTTTCCAATTTAAGATTCAGGGACGGCTTCAACAGCGGCAGCAGCAGCAGCAGCTGTGGCGGCAGCAGCGTCGCGTTTGATGGAAGCAGATTTGATGAGGTGATTGTAACTTCCTTTCTCCTTGAAAAGCTGAGCGAAATGGTGTTTACAATACAGAATGCCTTCAAGAGCTGCGTAGTTGGATGGAGAGATTGGACAGCCTCCATGTGAACACTTGAAGCAAGATTTGTGGTAACACTGGCTCTCCACAGTTACCTTCTCGATAGGATACACGGTTTTACTGCAAGTAGCGCATTTATCTTGTGTTCCAGAGAACATTCCAGCAAGTTTGCTAGGTGTCTTTGTCTGAAAACAACCAAGAAGAGATCATGTATACTATATAAGAACATGGGGAGCATTGTTTAAGAGAGATATTTACCAGCTCAGGGGTTGGCTTGTCAGTTAATGGCTTTGCAGCTGTGAGGGGAATATCAAAATTAGAAAGTTGAGACCATAAAACACACAGCAAGTAAGAAGTCGAATCAAAAGGTGAAGAGTGAGTTACATACGTGACTGAAAGTTCTTGTTGAAACTACCAGTCTCCTTGAAGAGCTGCTCAAAGTGAGGCTTACAGTACAACACACCTTCCATGGATGAATAATTGCTCAGCTGTAAGCAAACCAAAACCATCATATACATTTTTAAGTTGATCATATAATGGAACGACCAATGTAGATAAACAAGTATATGGGTTAAGCCAAAAGTCTAGTCTCTCTTAGACAAAACTCTTCATGAAACCCACAGAACTAATAACTATAATGAGAGATTGCTTTATGGGAAACAGAGTGATGAAGGAAACCCCATAACACTCTCTCTTTCATTATAGAACCTCTTCAAGTGCTCTTTCATTATACTTTCACACACAAACCAGTAAACTATATTCATGGATTGCTTAAGGGAAATGTGGCCACTCAAGGCTCTACTGGTAAAGCTTGAATCTTCAATTCACAATGAGAACATCAATGTAGATAATCCAATATATTACCAAACATTGATTCGTAATCAAAAACAAAAACTCACTTGAAGAGTGGATTTGCAGTGAGAGCACTTGAAGCAAGACTTGTGGAAAGGGACACCATCAGCTGAGAGAAGCTCCATAGGGTACACTGTCTTCTCACACGCCCTGCATTTCTGCTGCGTTCCTGTAAACGACATCGTTTCCTGTTGCTTCTTCACAATCTGTCCTTCCTCTCTCTCTCACTGCACACCATAACAAAACCCTATCCACATTTTAAAACCAAACATTTACACCTAAAAAACATTTTAAAACCAGAACACAAAGACAAACCCCATCACACATTCTTGACTTATCCACATTGACATATGCTTTAGCTATTTGAATCAAATCAAGATATTCCAAACAAAACCGATCCGTGGATCAGATGATTTGGTGATCAAATCATAAATTCAAAACTAAAGATTGCTTCTTTTTTCATATAAATATTGTAAAAAACAGCAAACTTTAACAGATTGAAACAGTCTAGAATTAACAAAAAGGTGAAGTCTTTTTTTACCTCTCCGTCGATCTGAACAAACACCAAACAGAAAAATGCGAAATCAAAAAAGACGAAGTTAGATGTGGAGAATACGAAGTTAGATGAAATGGTAATGATTATTGAGAGCACGTTCGACAAAATAATGAGTGAGATGAGATATATCTAAGAGCATCTTTATCCCACATACCCTTAATGGGTCTCTTGATTAAATTTTAATATTGTTTAAGGAATAAAGTAGGTGAAGAGACTTAATGAAGAACCTTGATATATTTATGCCTCTATTGCAAGTCTCTTGTTTGAGAGTTCTTCAAAATAAAATAATATTAAAATTTTTATTTTAAAACTAAAACAGATTTTATTAAATAAAACATAATAAAAGATAATTAAAACATAGATTTTTAAATGAAAACATGGAAACAAAGTTTATTAAACTAAAACGACATTTTTTTTGAAAGATGCATCCGAGATTAGTTGTTGTCTTCATCAAGGCCTCCATATTTAAGCCAAACATGTTCAACCATTTATTATGTCATCAAAAACAGGTGAGCGATCAAGAACATTGATATCATTTAAGGTACCTGGAGGTCCAAAAAACGCATGCCATATCCAGAGATCATATGAAGCAACCGCCTCTAAAACGATTGTTGGTTTACCCGAACCACGAGAATATTGCCCTTTCCAAGCCGTGGGACAATTTTTCCACTCCCAATGCATACAATCGATGCTTCCTATCATCCCGGGAATCGCATGCAAGATGAAACAATAGAGAACCGAACCTTTCGATAAAGCCACCGCGGGAAAGCTCCGTCGCCGTCGAAGAGACACACCGACAAAAGCAGATTCAACCGATTCAATCACATGCATCATCGACCATATCGTCAAACAAATCGCCATCGTCGAGAGGATTCGAGAAAGAAAGAGATAGAGAAATAAATTTTTGTTTCGCGTTTAACGCGTAACCGACGCACCACCCTCTCGTTTGTTGACACGCGTCCACCAATATACGTTCCTTCACGAGCCAACAAATAACCCGTCTCTTCTGCTTTTTTCCTTTTTCATTTTTCTTTTATTCATAAAAAAATCAGGATACGGGTTGAATAAACCGCGATAAAGATGGTCTAAAGGCTTTAACTTTATTTTTATCTTAAGCTTTGCTTTGGTGGAGACAGTGAGGTTCCACTTTGTCCTGTCTTTTTATTATTTTTAAAAAATTTGAAAACGTAAAACCAAATCATTGAAAGTTGAAACTTTATATTTAAAAATAAAAAATAAAAGATGAAACTTTATTATTATTATTATTATTTTCATAACTATACTCTTTTACTAGACCGGAGAATTGGTCGGCTTTCGCATAGTGTTTCAGCGATTACGAGAAGATTTCATTGATGTGCGTCTTTCACATATTCCGCGAAAGAGAAATGGAGTAGAGCTGTTTATTTTCTCACATAAATCAAATCCAGCCAAACAAAATTTTTCTCGGAGAATCAACTCGATTTGATCACCACTTGATCTATGAAATAAATAGACGGCTGAAAAAAAAAAAACTAAACACCAATTTAGAAAATCATCTTCTTGGTACAAAATCAATATAAAACATAGCACAATGAGAATTTTTAGTTACAAAATAAAAAAAAAAGATAACTTTGAACACCTCATAAAGATTGTATGTAATTGTGTTTTTCTTTTGCTTTTAGTTTATGCTCGATTATAAAATTGAGGAAGAACTGGTTACATCGTTCAAATTCAACCAAATGGAATGATGAAACTTTATTATAACAAATATTAAAACATTTAATGTGATATCATGAAAGTAGTAATTATTTGTATACATCATAGTTTTATTTACCCTATAATGGGTTTTTTACTTATGAATAAAAATACAATGACTATATATAGAAATATAATTACAGATCGGCAAAAACGTGGAAGTTTTTGGAGTCAACAGAGATGAGTCTAAGAGCTGCAACAGCGGCAGCAACAGACATCAGACTGAAGAAGACAACGTTAAGCCAATGCCATAGCTTTTGCAAATGATTGAGCTTATCGTCGTTAGCCTTGTAGTACATGTGATTGGCTAGAATGAATGTGAGAGGGATTGTGCTCACTGCACCAGTGAAGCTCATGAAGTCTCCAAGAAACGGCAATAGCGCTGAGAGAAGCGTGCTGATTGCGAGGTACCCTCCTCTAGCCATGATCCTAAACGTCAAGTTCTTTAACGCCAATGTGTTTCCTGTGACTCCAAACTTTGTGTCCATATACTCATATGTTGGACTTGCAAAAATCTATAAAACAAAGAGTTGTGTTAGATAAGATTTATTAATAACAAACAATTGGTGCATTTGCCTAAACGAAGACCGAAATCTAGAGGGTCTATAAACATTTTAAAGTAGTTTCTAATAAAAAAAAATTCTTTTTACATTTAGGAATTTGTAAGATGTATATTATTTATTTAAAAAATTTGAGAGTCAGAACAAATATTTATTAGAAATTTGTAAGATGTATATATCATAAACAAATTTTTATTTTGATTTTATCATGGACCAGTTCTAACCAAGACATTTGGTTCTGAAATGAAAAATAAAAATCACTAGCTTTTAGTTTTATCTAAAACTTGTATATATGTTGATATATAATCATTGTCGATCCTGAAATTTTGTAGAGAATTTTAATAACAAACGAAAAACCTTTTTAGCAATTTTACAAAGTCTATATTTATATACATTCTCTTAAAATTTTATAGGTCATAGACTAATATTTCACTTCCATATGCTCTCATGTCCAGGACCTGTTCTGTTAATACTGTTTACACAAGAGTCTTAAATAGTTCAAAATGGTCATGCAAAGAAACTTACGTGTAAACAGATAACAGATTGAAGGAAAGCAGAGATGTTAGCAAGTGCTTTGACCCAAAGTGGACCACTAACACTGTTTAGCAGATAGGTCGAGGTTGAGGAACCGTAAGCCCAGTATCCGATGAATGTAACCGCCAACATCGGTAAAACACCGATCGTGAACTGAAAGTACAAAGCCTTCATCATGTTCTTCACAACCGGTTGCCTCACTGTGGCCTACCAAAGCAGCACATATAAAAAGGATCATTTACACCTCCATATAAACAAAAAGAATATTACATTTTCAAAACGTTAAAACAGTTTTATAACCTGAATTTCTGGAAGCATTCCTGTGTTGAATACAAAAATAAGATTTGCTGCTGCAGCTGTGATGGTAAAGAGTTTACTTGACGGTGTTCCTTGTATCTCGTAGTCTCTTGAATGTGTTTTCACTCCTAAAACCAACACAAAGAAGCGCCAAGTTTAGCAATAGTATAGTTAACATTTGAAGCATGATCATCATTTAAGTTATGTACCATCTTTAACTGCTAGCACGATTGCAACAATGATGAAGAGGAGACTGAAGATGGTTGAAACTACAAGCCATATCCCAAGAGCAGATAAGTGAGGAACACCAATAGCGAAAACCGCACAAAAGAGACCAGCGATAGCTATGAAATGAGGTAGTTTCATGGCATGATCATCCCTAAAAAGAACATAAACAGCCTGGAGAAACAGAAACACACTCCAAAGTTAACTAACTTGTCTCACAAGAAACGAAAGAAACTAAGACAAAATGTTTTAGTTTACTACTTTTAAAGCGGAACCAGCTAGTATGATGAATCCACAGTTAATCATGAAAAGATTAACATATTGCAATCCCCATGTAAGACGGTAAGCCTTTCTACCTGATAAAAGAAGAGACCCAATCATTACAATGAAAGTAAAAAAAAAAAAAAGTAAATTATTTGGTTCTTTTACCGTAAATGAATCCAGCGAGGTCTCTATAACGAATATGTCTCTTGCCACCAAACTCATGAAGCTTGGCAACAAGAGCGTTTGCATAAAGAGATATAGCATTTGCAAGAACAAGACCAACCACACCACCAACCCAACCTAAAGGAACCATCACTGTTCCTGAATATCCCAACACATAAGCGTTGTTTATTCCAGTTGTCAAAACAAACGCCACTTGAAACCATGAATCTGTAAAAATTACACAAAAACATACTTATAAAGATTCATACTTAAAAAGGTTAAAATAACAAGAGAAGCTAATTACAAACCGCTGCTAATCTGATGAGCAGTGTCAGGGACTTCGATATCAAAATGTTCACCATCATTAACATTGCTTGTGCGGTTCTTAGCTCCCGTGGAACTCATGATCTCTAGCACTAAGTAGTCTTAGGAGCTAAAGAGCTTTTTATAATGGTTTGATAAGAGCCTTTACCTCGACCACATGCAAAAAATTTGGGAAAGCAACCTTTAAAATAATTTGCTACTTTTTGACTGAAGTAGTAGTGGTCATACTTTCTTCTTCTTTTTCTCAATGATATAATCTTTACTTTAGATTGATATAACGTTTTATTATGTAGTGGCCATACACATTGATGATGGAGTCGGAACTCCACGATAGATATCAGTTAAAGTTTGTAGGGTTTAGTGATTGGTACTTTTTTGATCATCAACTTTAAACCACTAAAGTTATTGCAAAATAGCTATAAGACAAGAAGATGAGTTAGAAGCTAAATACTGCAAAACTAAAGTTACTTAGCCGTTTAAAAGATTCTTGATACATTTGTTGATGATCAGTGTGTCATATAGATTCTTGAGACATTTGTTGATCAGTGTGTCATATTATACAAATTGCATACAACTTCCTCTTCACTTTTTCTTTAGTTTGGCTGATGGTTGGACAATATCACAAATTAGGTGGTTTTGTAACCAATAATCTAAGACCATGATTAACTTCGGGTTCTTAGGATGAGATTCTTAGCTTTGACTAAGAACCGTTTATTAGTATTTAACTAAGAAAAGCGAAAAAGAGTTTTAAATAAGAGATATAAGAACCGATTTTTAGTAGAAAAGTGTAAAAAAAATATTAAATCATGAGTTAAGAACTCCAAATTAAGAATCCGGGTTAATCTCTAAAATACTTTGAGACGGATACGGTGGATATGATTGGGAACCCGGTTGAGAGGCCGGTTTTTGTTTCAGAGCTAACTACTTTTGTCTAGGAACCAAGTGGTTCTTTGAATTGTTTTAATATCAGCAAGAACTTGTTCACAATGTATGGGTAGTTGACAAAAAAGTTAAAAAAAGTTAAGTAATATAAACTTTGGCACATTGTATTCTTTTTACATTTTTTAATTACTTAGGCTCTGATGATTATATAATATATACACAAAAAGAGAATACAAGAAATATTGCCTAAGAACAATAATGCAATGACTATATATATTTATATATGTATAATGAATTACAAATCTGCAAAAACATGGAAGTTTTTGGAATCAAGGGCGATGAGTCTAACAGCTGCAATAGCAGCAGCCAAAGACATCAAGCTGAAGAAGACAACGTTAAGCCAATGCCATATCTTTTGCATAGAGTTGAGCTTATTGTTCATAGCTTTATAGTACATGTGATTGGCTAGAATGAATGTAAGAGGGAATGTGCTCACTGCACCAGTGAGACTCATGAAGTCCCCAAGGAACGGTAAGAGGGCTGAGACAAGCGTGCTAATTGCTATGTACCCTCCACGCGCCATGATCCTAAACGTCAAGTTCTTTAAAGCCAATGGGTTTCCTTTGATACCAAACTTTGTGTCCATGTACTCATATGTTGGACTTGCAAATATCTACAACACAAAGAGTTGAGTAAGAACTCAGGAAATGTTATAGACTTGGTGATAAGTAACTTACATGCAAAGCAATAACGGATTGAAGTATAGCAGAGACGTTAGCAAGGGCTTTGACCCAGAGTGGGCCATTAACACTGTTTAGCAGATAGGTCGTGGTTGAGGAACCGTAAGCCCAGTATCCAATGAATGTAACAGCATACATTGGTATAACACCAGCTGTGAACTGAAAGTATAGAGCCTTCATCATGTTTTTCACTACAGGTTGTCTCACTGTTGCCTATCATTACAGAAAGTCCAGCGTTAATGCAAGTGAACACTAAACATAAGCAAACCATTGAACTTAAGAGGAAACCATCACCTGAATCTCTGGAAGCATCCCTGTGTTGAATGCGAAGACCAAGTTAGCTGCTGCTCCTGTGATGGTAAAGAGTTTGTTTAATGATGATCCTTGTATCTCGTAGTCTCTTGGAGGTGCTTTTACTCCTACAAGCAACAAAAAAACAAGAGCCAAGAATCAGATTTTTAGCTATAAAAGGCCATTAGTATAGCTAAAGCCTTGATTATCATTTGAGTTTTTACCGTCTTTAACTGATAGAACAATTGCCACAACAATGTAGATGAGACTGAGAATGGTTGAAACCGCAAGCCAGGTCCCAAGAGCTGATAAATGAGGAATGCCAATAGCGAAGAGTGCACAAATAAGACCAACAATGGCTATACAATGAGGTAACTTAATGATATGATCATCCCTGAAGAGCACATAAACAGCCTGCAGGAAACAGAACACAACTAACTCAGCTAAAGACAATTAAAGAATCAAGAGAAAAATGTTTAATTACCTTCAAGGCAGAACCAGCTAGAATGATGTATCCACAGTTAATCATGAAAAGATTTACATATTGCAATCCCCATGTAAAGTGATAAGCCTTTTTACCTGATTTAAAAAAAAAAAAGAGATTAATCATTTTCAATGACTAAAAACTAAAAGAGTTTGGTTTTGGTTTCTCTTACCATAAATGAATCCAGCAAGGTCTCTGTAGCGGATGTGTCTTCTGCCACCAAACTCATGAAGCTTGGCAACGAGACTGTTTGCATATAGAGAGATTGCAGTTGCAAGAATAAGACCAACTACACCACCAATCCAACCTAAAGGAACCATTACTGTTCCTGAATATCCCAAGACATAGGCGCTGTTTATACCAGTGGTCAGGACGAACGCCACCTGAAACCATGAATCTGTACATTCCACAAGAACTTACTCAGCTTTTCCACAAAATTTGATCTCAGATTGTTAATTATAAGACCACAAAGAAACAGAGTTTGGCAAAGTAAAAACTTCCCAAACAAACATATGGTTGTAAAAACGTTTTGAGAGGCAGAGAGATGAAACTCATCAAGAAACTTGAATTAGTATAACGTTTGGGTATCATCAAAGACAATATTTTGAAGTAAGGGTCATAGTCAGAACCAGCAAAGATAACATTTTGAAGAAAGTGTCATTGTTAAAAGTCATCAGAGACAAAACTTTCAAGTAAGGGTCTTCGTCAAAACCATCAAAGATAATATTTTTGAAGAAAGTGTCGTTGTTAAAGTCGTCACAAAATTTTGAAGAAAGGGGCATTGTCAAAACCATCAAAGCCAACATTTTGAAGAAAGGGTCATCCTTAAAATGATCAAAGCCAATGTTTTGTAGAAAGGGTCATCACTAAAATCAACAAAGCCAAAGTATTGAAGAAAGGGTCATCCTTAAAATGATCAAAGCCAACGTTTTTGAAAAATATGTTGAAAATGGTCATTTTGTCAGAATCATCAAAATGCAACATTTTTTAACGCCGATTCAGAGCCATGAAAAAGCCACATTACAACAAAAGAGACCATTTTTTAGCTCCTAAACGAATTGCGTCTGATTATGTCAACTCAATGTATTAAAAAAATTGGGCGTTAATCCCGAGATAAAGAAACCATTAATTAAAAGAAAAAACAACAATTAGACTCAGTAAAAATAAAAAAATAACAGAGGTGAAAATTGAATTAAAACAAACCGCTGCTAATTTGATGAGCAGTGTCAGGGATTTCAACACCAACATCGTCTCCTCCCTTTCGGACACTCCCTTTGCGATTATTAGCTTCAGTGGCGGTCATGTTTTCTACAACAAACGGCTCTCCTGTCTCTGCAGCTAAGAGCCTTTCTCTTTCTTCTTCTTCTCCTCCTCCTCCTTCTACGACCACATGAAAGAATCTTGAGAAAGTCATATCCTTTCTGATATTTATAGAATCTGATTTTTTTTTATTAGCGATTTTTTCTCTCGTTCGCTACTCTTCCGCTAAAAACTGAGATATGTTTAAAAAAAAAAAGAGTTTTGATTGAGAAGCCAAGAATCCAGGTCGATTCGCAACTGAAAAAAGAAGAATCTAATTCAGTCAGAGGAAGGGAATAGATTAAAAAAGAATCGAATCGGAAATGAAGAAAAGATAGATCTTTTTTTTCTTCTAATGGTGCTTGTTAATTACGACATATAAGTTGCAAAACATGTGGTGGGTCTTTTGAGAGTCTCTCTTCTTGTCTGAAATGTTTGTTTTGTGCATGAGATTCTATTAGAATGGCCAATGATATATAATACAAATAAATTAAATTAAACATATTTTTATTTATATATACTTTGCTTGTTTTATTATTTTACTAAATTTGAATCCATCCTTTCAAGAAAACTTCCCTGACAATTATTAAAGAAAAATATGTATCTGCACAGACGGCACTAGTGGTTTATGGGTCTTCTTTAGTGAGAACAAAACTATTAAATGTTCTGTAAACATACTTTTATACTTTTATTGTTATTTTTTAAGAATCTAGATACATTAGATTTATTTTGTTGTAAGGTAAAGGGAAATTGATAACGTTAATCATCCGCAGTAATACTGGTGTGATGATTGGTTACCGTAGTTTAAAAATTAAATTGTACATATATTGGTTATATCTGTAAAATTGTTAAAATAGATTTTTGCAAAAAAAATTACTAAATTTGTTGTATCTGTAAAATATAAACTGTAGATACTTTCAAATAAAATATGTGAAATATGTAATATATATATATATAAGATAAGATAATTATTTTTTCTTAATTAAAATAATTTATTTTCTTTTTTTTATAAATTATCAAAATTTATTATTATTTTAAATGTGATATGTAAATGATAGTTATGTTATTTAAAATATTATAATAATTGTAAAACGCCTAAATTAAATTAAAGTATCTATAGATGTTTTTAGTTATGATTATCTAATTTATTTAATATTATAGATAAAACAATTTTATTTTACAGATTCTACAATATATAAAAGAAAGATGTAGATTTTTTTACCTAAATTACATAAGAAAAATTGCTTTGTTTTTTGTTGTATCTTAAAAAGTAAAGTTAAATATGATTGGTTTAAATCAATAGAAATTTGATGTAGACTTTACTTTTTAAAAATAAAACTATAACATGATTAATTAAGTTTAATGTTTTAAAAACAAATAAAGAG